CAGATATTAACCTGCAGAGCCCTGCCCATGACATGCAGATTGTGGCAATATTGTGCTAAAAAATTAACTAAATTGACAGCACATCTGTTTTTAATATTGATAATAATACTTTTACTAATAATACTAATGTTTCTTGAGCAGCAAATCAGCATTTTGAAGGATCGTGTGACAAAAGACTGGAATAATGGCTGCTGAAATTTCAACTTTACAGGAATAAATTACTTTTTAAAAATAAATTAAAATAGAAAACAGTTACAATGTTTCACAATATTACCCTTTTACTGTATTTTTGATCAAATGCAACCTTGGTGAGCATAAGACACTTTTTTCAAAAAAAAAAAAAATCTTGAACAATAGTATATATTTAAAAGAATGAGTAGTGTGTATAGTAGTGAGCTGAGCAAGGACTGAGGTGACGTGTTTGTGTGTGTCCCTTTGTGTGACTTTCCCTGGGAGGTGCAGACAGCACGGTTTGCCCACACACACATGCACCATGTGACCGGAATCCTATCACAGCTGCATATGCGTCAAGAGCAAACACACACACATACAGTGGTGTGAAAAAGTGTTGGCCCCCTTCCTGTCTATTTAAGCATGCTTCACTTTGTCAGACAGGTTCTATTTAAGTGATTTCTTGATTCAACAGGTCTGGCAGTAATCAGGCCTGGGTGTGGCTAGTGAAATTTAACTCTGCTTTCTAAAATAATGTGGTTAATTGCAGTTCTTTCATGATTTAACAGGAGGGAGCAATTAATTTTTCACGTAGGGCCACGTCGGTTTGGACAGCTTTTTTCCCTTAATAAATTAAATCATCATTTAAAAACTGCATTTTGTATTTACTTGCATTATCTTTGTGTAATATTTAAATTTGTTTGATGATCTGAAACATTAAAGTGTGACAAACATGCAAAAAAAAAAAGAAATCAGGAAGGGGGCCAACACTTTTTCACACCACTGTACATGCTCATATCTAAAGTCACTGATCACCGCAGGATTGCACGGCTGGAGTACTCGGCACTGTTCTTGGACACACATTACCACCCACAAGGCCTGATGGACAGAGAAAGTTTGAAGGACATTTATTGCCATGTGTGTGATTGAAATCGAGAAATGCCAGATGTACTATGCTGCCTTTTGGTGGAACAGTATATTGTGAAACTGTGTTTTGTATGACAATCATAAACTGAATGTTACAGTGTGTAGTGGTATATTATTTCAGTTGATTGCTGTAGAGCCGATTGTTTTGAAGGTTTGCTGTTGCTGTGTTGGTAGTTACCAGTCCCCTGGTGTGAAGAGATTTGTTACGCACAGAGAGCGAGAGAGAGAGAGAGACAGTATGTGTGTGTGTTTTGCTACTGTACTGCTTGTAAACTGCATCAGCACTGCAGTAATTGGCAGATCGTCGATGCAGTCATCAGGAAACCCACCGGCATGATTATGCTGATCCTAGAGCAGCGCTTACGCAAATGCACGCTCCCTATCACACCGCTGCAGACATCATGTGTGAGTTTTTGTTCAACTCCTTAGCCATGCGCTTCCATCGAAAGACTAAACTCCCGTGAGTAAAGGACTAGAAAAAAACAGAATAATGAATGTTAAAAGCTATATATATATATAGACTACATTAGACTACAACAATGAAACATGCATTATTATTAGGCATAACAATAACTTTAATATTGTTGTTTATGTTGTTGCAATGTCTTAATATTATAGAACTGTTAACTAAATTGAAAATTGAATTTCCGTTTTAGAAAAATGATGGTGAAACCAGTTTAACTCGTAGAGAATAGATTAAGTTGGTAGTAGTGCAATCGCGATTAATCGCATCCAAAATAAAAGTTTTTGTTTACATAATATATGTG